TTCATTAAACAAACACATGCAGTATTGCATCGCCAAAAGATATATACAGATGGTCTGAAACAAAGGGGCAGGAGGAGAGATATCTAACAGCACACACTAGTCATGCTGTCAAACCATCCATTAAACTAATACCATATTACAGTGATTAAAAACAGTGACATTCCAGCTCATGACATGATTCAGTAGCTGCATAACATAGCAAAACACTGACAACAGGTGATTACTTCACATAAGAGGAGCACAACACTGATGTCACAACATTACACACTACACCCACAGTGATAATAGTTTAAACACAGTTTCTGTTCAGCTAGACTACAGGCAGGGAAGAACACATTCAGTACAGTAAAGAACAGGTAGCTCCGCTGCAGTGGTAGACATGCTGGCTCAGGTTATCATGTAGCTCCGCTGCAGTGGTAGACATGCTGGCCCAGGTTATCATGTAGCTCCGCTGCAGTGGTAGACATGCTGGCCCAGGTTATCATGTAGCTCCGCTGCAGTGGTAGACATGCTGGCCCAGGTTATCATGTAGCTCCGCTGCAGTGGTAGACATGCTGGCCCAGGTTATCATGTAGCTCCGCTGCAGTGGTAGACATGCTGGCCCAGGTTATCATGTAGCTCCGCTGCAGTGGTAGACATGCTGGCCCAGGTTATCATGGTTTGTGGATCTGACTATAGTGTTATGTCACTAACATAAGACTACCAATTAGGAGGCCCAGAGTCTTGCTGGTTGGTTGCTGACTAAGTATGTCTAACTATCTAAGTATGTCTAACTATCTAAGTATGTCTAACTATCTAAGTATGTCTAACTATCTATATCTGAGTTATCATGTTGCAGGTGCCTTTAAAAGCTCTGGTAAAGGCCAAGTGGCCGACACGTAAGCTTGAATTAAAAAGTGATACTAGCAACAGCAGTGTGCAAGAGCAGTATGGCTACCACTGCATCCCAGAAAAGCAGGAAGACAGACAGGGGAAAGGGGTTAATGACGGGTGAGGGACAGAAAGACAGAAAGAAAGCAGAAATACTATACCAGGGGGCAAGGGGCGCCTGAGGATTGCCCCGCCTCCCCAGGGTGTTCTTTACACCCATTGGTGCCCTGTCAGCAAGAGCCATTCCGAAAATGTCACTCCTTTATTAAATTGATACAGTACTGTGTATACCGTCTGTCTATAGCCACTTATTCAAGTCCTGACCTCAGTCATACTAACATCTCACTCATATATAAACATTTCCATTATGTAAACATCTCATATGCACCTCCCATTATTACTATAAACATCTACACTCCAATGGAACCTAATAATTGTGTTATTTAGAGAGAAAGAAAAGTTTGCCCTTGAATGAAAAGACAGTGTTTGAAGAAGAGTGAGTGGAGAGGAGGAGGCAGGAAGAAGTGACATACCACAGGACAGGGCTGGTCCAGTCCAGGGGGGCCCTGCTCGCCCTTCTGTCCCTTCAATCCCTTCTTTCCCAGCATCCCCCTGTCACCCTGAGAGAGAAGAGAGACAAAACAATAATATATAATAATTAGGGTTGTTAGAGTTATTCAGTTAACTCAAGTTAACCTTTAGTAATTTTAGTGCATGATTGACATTATTTTCTCCCGCAATTGTCTGAAAGCATTCTAAATACACTGAAAACATCAAAACTACATAACTTATACAAATAAAAACAACAACGCAATGTCAAAACAAGTTGACATGGAGGTTAAAGAGAGTGTGCTTAATCAATTTACCTGATTTTGCTAACTGTTACTTTGAATAAAATCAAGACGTCAATATTCTTGTAATGCTTTTAGTAATTTGAGCAAATTTTGAATTTGCGATTATTCGTGATTAATCAAAGCAAATCCTGTGATTAATTCGATAAATAGTTTTTATCATTTGACGGCCCTAATAATAATAATAATATAAGCAATTTAGCAGACGCTTTTATCCAAAGCGACTTACAGTCAGGAATGCATACAATTTTTACGTGTAGGTGGACCAGGGAATCAAATCCACTATCCAAGGGCAACATGAACCAAGCTCTACCAACTGAGCTACATAGACCCACAAAGGAGACAAGTCTCTCATCGTGCATCAATTTCGTCTCCAGATTATGCTATAACTAAACAATCCTCCTCCTTCTCACCTCAGAACTTAACCAGCACCCCCCCCCCCCCACCACCACTTCTAGCTCGGACTCTACAGATAGCTACGTTATTGAGGGAAAATGTACTTTTTATGCCTGTGATATGTGGTTGTCCCACCTAGCTATCTTAAGATGAATGCACTAACTGTAAAACGCTCTGGATAAGAGCGTCCGCTAAATGACTAGCATGTTCATGTATAATGTTAGGTAACAGAAGATGATTAAACATAGCCTCAGTAGCCCCTGTTGTGGCTGATACCCACCTTGTCTCCTCTGCCCCCTCTCTCCCCCTTTTCTCCCATCAGCCCGGGGAAACCCTGACATGGAGAGAGGTAGTGGTCAATAAAGTGTTTTTAAAAGACTGTGCTAGTTTCTTAGTGTGTGGGCTAACACAGTCTTGTGACATGCAGGAAAGCTGGGTCGAACCCTGTCAGTCACAAGAGCAAGATTAAATAGGGAGTGGAAGGGCTATGACAGGGCTATTCAACTGTATTCTTATGGGGGCCAAATTGTGTTTTTTTGTGACACTAACGCGGCCTGTGTTAGTTATTGAATCTTGCTCTGCATGTCACAAGACTGTGTGATAGAGGGGAACAGAAGGCACATCCATATTAGCTTTCAGGAATGGGGTCATAATAGCTTATAGCCAAAACAGTTCAAATGCTAGAGCCAAATTCATAGGAAGAAAAAAAATGTAACATGCCACAATGGCTTCAGAAACCGCCAGAAGCTTCTGTTTACCACAGTGACCGTTTAATTCTATCTGTACTCCTCTACTTTTCGTGGCTGGCAAAGTACCAGGATGTTGTCTCTGGTTTTGAATCTGAACTTAGAGAACTGAATTTGAATGCATCTGAGAAGTTGAATATGTGAAATTTTGATAAACTTGAAATGATACTGTAGTTTGTAAACTTGATACACAGAAAATGAATGCAATATCTACCATATTGAAACTGAATATATAAATACTGAATTTGAATATTCAATTACATTTAAATTGAATTTTTAAACTGAATGCAATATTCACTCAATTCAGTTTCAAATCTAAGTTACATTTCTGAATTAAATTATTACATTTGTTCAATACAAATTCAAAAATATTAAATTCAATATCCTAATACAAATTCAAAATTATGGAATTCAAATACAATTTAAGGTTGGCACGGAAACCACTCCATAGAAACGTGACAGATTTACATTTTAAATTTTTAGTCATTTAGCAGACGCTCTTATCCAGAGCGACTTACAGTTATACATACTGGCCCCCCGTGGGAATCAAACCCACAACCCTGGCGTTACAAACGCCATGCTCTACCAACTGAGCTACATCCCTGCCGGCCATTCCCTCCCCTACCCTGGACGACGCTGGGCTAATTGTGCGCCGCCCCATGGGTCTCCCGGTCACGGCCGGCTACGACAGAGACATTTAGACATACTTACATCTAATCCCGGCAATCCTTGCTCTCCCTGTTGAAGAAATTAAATATGATCAAGTTAATTCAGAAGCAGCTTACTTTGGAAAATGTACCTGTCTCTGAAGGGTCTCTGATACCCTGTCCATTTCCTCAACAAACACGGCATATGAAAAATGCTGCTAACCTTTCCCCCTTTGGTGCCAGGGAGACCAATCAATCCTGTAGAACCTGGAAGACCCTGGATACCCTGTGTGCAGAAATACTGTCATCAGTTATGTGGTCCGTAATATGATAGGCAGCAGGGTTGGGGCCAATTCTGAAGTGAGTTGCAAATTGTTCTTTAATTCCCATTAAATTCTTGAATTTGAATTGAATTTCACTTTGGAATTAGGAAGTAGATTTTAATTCAACAAAATTCTATGAAATTCAAATGGCTAATTTATTCTACATTCAACCATACATATGTTTATTTTGACATACTGTATGTGACCAATACTATGTACAGCATATCGATGAAATATTTGACTTTTAAAGATGAATTATCTGTAAATAAATTACAAATAATTACAGTAGTCTGGACATATTCTAATATCCTTTTGTATGTTTATAATTCACTTACACCTTATGAAATATGAATTAAAATACATTTCCCAGAATGCATCAGACACTACAGAATGGAAGGGATCAACCTAATCTCATGACACCAATATTAATAAATCATGTGTGACATGTTTCAGTTGTAATCAAATGGTGTCTGTATTCTTTGCAGTAATAAGTGTCAGATGCTTTTGGTAAAAGATTTGTCAAAGGAAGGATAGTTTTATGCTTCATGTCTCTGCTTCCTGTGGGATGTGTCCAATTCAAATTAGTATTTCAAATCATGGATTGAATTAAATTCAGAAATTCCGAATTGACCCCAACCGTGATATGCAGTCTGAGTGAGACGGAATAGGATATACTTACCCTTAACCCAGGAGGACCTCTGTCACCTGCATCCCCCTTATCTCCTTTCACTCTCTCACCTGGTTCCCCCTGTGAGATATTGACAAATACACAACTTCAAGCTGGTGCTTACATTTTTCCTTGTGAATTACAATCCATCTTGTCTCTGACCTACTATAAATACACATTTTATCCACTATTCTCCACCCAGCATTTCATCATCTGCTAGGGCTAAAGTTTGAATGACAGGGCATTCCAGTGCAGCTTTCGTAACCTAAAGAATCCTGTATTGTTTTCTTTTAGGGGCAGGATCAATCAGAGCCCTGACTATCTCACCTTGGGGCCAGGCATTCCATCATGTCCCTGAAAAACACAATTTGTTATGTCATTCTCTTTGTAAACACTGTTAATCACAAGAGCCTATAACAGAACATATAGCATTAAAAAAAAACATGAATAGCAAAGTAGACATTGGAGATTTACTAGGTTCCTCTGAGAACAGATTGAGGTTATGGAGTGTTTGTCAAGGATCTATTTGCAGAGAGAATATATCTAGAACGTTTAAGCTTTTGATATCCCCCCCTATAATATGTAATATATGCCATTTAGCAGACACTTTTATTAAAAGCGACCTACAATCATGCGTGCATACATTTTTCGTAAGGGTGGTCCCAGGAATCTAACCAACTATCCTGGCGTTGCAAGCGCCATGCTCTACCAACTAGGCTACAGAGGACCCCCCCTATCATTACGAAGACAGAGGGACCGGTTACCCACCATGTGGCCAGGGTAACCCTGGGGCCCGGGAGGCCCTGGAGGGCCCGAGATAGAGATCCTATGGGCCTGGAGCAGAGAGCATTAGTGTTAAGATAACCAGACGTTGCACAATCGTATAACACTACTAGACCTTGATGAGGTATCACACTTGACAGATACACGTTTGGTATCTAAATCGTTACTGACCAGACCATCCTCAAACCTTGAATCCCCTCTCTCTCCTTTTTTTCCGTCAGCTCCCTAAGAGACAAAAAAATACATTGTATGGACAAAATCTACAAGGCAGGGGGACAGTAGACTGCTGTGCCATGCCCATAGCCCATCATCCATCAGGACACAGCTCATATCACACTTACCGCAAGCCCAGTTTGGCCCATCAGGCCTCGCTCTCCCTTCTCCCCTGCCACTCCAGGCATCCCATCATCACCTCTATCCCCTTTGGCTCCCTATAGAGATGAGGCACACCATGATGCCGATAGCACTGAGGAACACAGCTCATATTGATTTCATAGTACAATAATAATTAGACATTACAGTTCATGTTATTTACCTTATCCCCATCAGCTCCAGGTGCACCAGGTGAGCCTGACTCTCCCTGTTGGCAAGAAGGAGACGGGTAAACATGAGGAAACGGGTAACATGAGGAGACGGGTAAACATGAAGGAGACGGGTAAACATGAGGAGACGGGTGAACATGAGGAGACGGGTAAACATGAAGGAGATGGGTAAACATGAGGAGACGGGTGAACATGAGGAGACGGGTAAACATGAAGGAGGCGGGTAAACATGAAGGAGACGGGTAAACATGAAGGAGACGGGTAACCATGAGGAGACAGGTAACCATGAGGAGATGGGTAACCATGAGGAGACGGGTAACCATGAGGAGACGGGTAACCATGAGGAGACTGGTAACCATGAGGGAGACAGGTAAACATGAGGAGACGGGTAAACATGAAGGAGACAGGTAAACATGAAGGAGACGGGTAAACATTAATGAGATAGGTAAACATTAGGAGACGGGTAAACATGAGGAGATGGGTAAACATGAGGAGACGGGTAAACATGAAGGAGACGGGTAAACATGAAGGAGACGGGTAAACATGAAGAGACGGGTAAACATGAAGGAGACGGGTAAACATGAAGAGACTGGTAAACATGAAGGAGACAGGTAACATGAAGAGACGGGTAAACATGAAGGAGACGGGTAAACATGGAGAGACGGGTAAACTTGAGGAGATGGGTAAACATGAGGAGACGGGTAAACATGAAGGAGATAGGTAAACATTAGGAGACGGGTAAACATGAAGGAGACGGGTAAACATGAAGAGACGGGTAAACATGAAGGAGACGGGTAAACATAAAGGAGACGGGTGAACATGAGGAGACGGGTAAATATGAAGGAGAAAGGTAAACATGAGGAGATGGGTAAACATGAGGAGACGGGTAAACATGAAGAGACGGGTAAACATGAAGAGACGGGTAAACATGAAGGAGACGGGTAAACATGAGGAGACGGGTAAACATGAAGGAGACAGGTAAACATGAGGAGATGGGTAAACATTAGGAGACGGGTAAACATGAAGAGACGGGTAAACATGAAGGAGACGGGTAAACATGAAGAGACGGGTAAACATGAGGAGACGGGTAAACATGAGGAGATGGGTAAACATGAGGAGACGGGTAAACATGAAGAGACGGGTAAACATGAAGAGACGGGTAAACATGAAGGAGACGGGTAAACATGAAGAGACTGGTAAACATGAAGGAGACAGGTAAACATGAAGAGACGGGTAAACATGAAGGAGACGGGTAAACATGGAGAGACGGGTAAACATGAGGAGATGGGTAAACATGAGGAGACGGGTAAACATGAAGGAGACGGGTAAACATGAAGGAAACGGGTAAACATGAAGGAGACGGGTAAACATGAATGAGATAGGTAAACATTAGGAGACGGGTAAACATGAAGGAGACGGGTGAACATGAAGAGACGGGTAAACATGAAGGAGACGGGTAAACATAAAGGAGACGGGTGAACATGAGGAGACGGGTAAACATGAAGGAGACAGGTAAACATGAGGAGACAGTTAACCATGAGGAGACGGGTAACCATGAGGAGACGGGTAAACATGACGAGACGGGTAAACATGAGGAGACGGGTGAACATGAGGAGACGGGTAAACATGAAGGAGGCGGGTAAACATGAAGGAGACGGGTAAACATGAAGGAGACGGGTAAACATTAGGAGACGGGTAAACATGAGGAGACGGGTAAACATGAGGAGACGGGTAAACATGAGGAGACGGGTAAACATGAAGAGACGGGTAAACATTAGGAGGCGGGTAACCATGAGGAGACGGGTAACCATGAAGGAGATGGGTAAACATGAAGGAGACAGGTAAACATGAAGGAGACGGGTAAACATGAGGAGATGGGTAAACATGAGGAGACAGGTAAACATGAAGAGACGGGTAAACATGACGAGACGGGTAAACATGAGGAGACGGGTAAACATGAAGAGACGGGTAAACATTAGGAGGCGGGTAAACATGAATGAGATAGGTAAACATGAGGAGACGGGTAAACATGAGGAGACGGGTAAACATGAAGAGACGGGTAAACATGAAGAGACGGGTAAACATGAGGAGATGGGTAAACATGAAGAGACGGGTAAACATTAGGAGGCGGGTAAACATGAAGGAGACGGGTAAACATGAAGAGACAGGTAAACATGAGGAGACGGGTAACATGAGGAGACGGGTAAACATGAAGGAGGCGGGTAAACATGAAGGAGGCGGGTAAACATGAAGAGACGGGTAAACATGAAGAGACGGGTAAACATGAAGAGACGGGTAAACATGAAGGAGACGGGTAAACATGAAGGAGACGGGTAACCATGAGGAGACGGGTAACCATGAGGAGACGGATAACCATGAGGAGACGGGTAACATTGACGAGACGGGTAACCATGAGGAGACGGGTAACCATGAGGGAGACGGGTGAACATTAGGAGACGGGTAAACATGAGGAGATAGCTAAACATGAAGGAGACAGGTAAACATGAAGGAGACAGGTAAACATGAAGGAGACAGGTAAACATGAATGAGATAGGTAAACATTAGGAGACGGGTAAACATGAGGAGATGGTAAACATGAGGAGACGGGTAAACATGAAGGAGACGGGTAAACATGAAGGAGACGGGTAAACATGAATGAGATAAGTAAACATTAGGAGACGGGTAAACATGAGGAGATGGGTAAACATGAGGAGATGGGTAAACATGATGAGATGGGTAAACATGAAGAGATGGGTAAACATGAAGGAGACGGGTAAACATGAATGAGATAAGTAAACATTAGGAGACGGGTAAACATGAAGAGATGGGTAAACATGAAGAGACGGGTAAACATGAAGGAGACGGGTAAACATGAAGGAGACAGGTGAACATGAGGAGACAGGTGAACATGAGGAGACAGGTGAACATGAGGAGACAGGTGAACATGAAGGAGACAGGTAAACCAAAGCCATACTGTAGATTACTGCTCCATTACTGCATATGCCAACATATTTTAAACACATTGACACTTTGACACATTTAGCAGACACTCTTATCCAGAGCGACATATAGTCAGATGTCATAACCAACACACTGTTGAATGTGTATAATGGAATTATAAAATTGGCTACAATGACAAATTTCCCCTCCAGAACAGAATCTCTTCCACCGACGACGGGATTGGAACCCAGGCGTGCCGAGCACAATTGATTAGCAGGCCATCGCCTTAACCACTCGGCCACCTCGTCAAACACAACTAACTCTCACCTTTGACCCTTGGCCTCCTGGGGGCCCTGGGGGCCCTGGGGGACCCTGCAGGAATAGAAAAGTAGAAAAGGAAAGTGAGAATATGCACTCCACAGGGGACTGTTATATAGAATGCATATCTAGAGAAATATTATGGTGTGAGTGAAACTTTTAACAATAAATAAAATGGTACATTCTGAATTTGTGGGGTAGTAATGCAAAGCAGAATGTTGTTTTTGACCCAATTTAGAACTCACCTGAACGACTTGGCCAAGGCCGATGTCATAGGAGCCAGGAACAGCCTTCTCTCCCGGTGAGCACTGTAGAGGGAGACAGAGTCAAACACACAGAAAAATTAATGAATAAAGATAAATAAAGGTATTGGAAGAGGTCTCCTGTCCCCACCCTTCTCCCCATGTCTCCTGTCTCCCCCTTCTCCTTCCTTCTCCCCCTGTGTCTCCTGTCTCCCCCTTCTCCCACTGTGTCTCCTGTCTCCCCCTTCTCCCCCTGTGTCTCCTCTCCCCCTTCTCCCACTGTGTCTCCTGTCTCCCCCTTCTCTCACTGTGTCTCCTGTCTCCCCCTTCTCCCACTGTGTCTCCTGTCTCCCCCTTCTCCCCCTGTGTCTCCTCTCCCCCTTCTCCCACTGTGTCTCCTGTCCCCTCCTACATAGAGTGAATACATACAGTAGGACCTCAGCATGCCTGTCGTTCCAGTGCATCCCCACTGGGCACAGACTTCAGTTCAAACGTAGTTTTAATTGAGTTGTCAACTAATGTGAATTCAAAGCGAAATCATCAAAGAACAATTGCAAATACAATCCATTTTCCACCTTGATTCAACGTCATGACATTGACATTTATTGTTTAAATGGCGTGGAAACAACATTGATTCAACCAGTCTGTGCCCAGTGGGTCAATACATAGTGCCAAATGTCTCAGGGTCATCGCTGTATGTAACGTCAATCTTTTCTTCATCTTTCAAGACATCCATTTCCAATTCCTCCTCTATTTACCTTCATCCCTGGTAGTCCATCAAGGCCAGTCCTGCCCTGGTCACCAGCAGGCCCCTGCTCCCCCTGTCACAGACATGGAGATAGAGTGAGACTGGGAAAGAGACGGGAGAGGAGGAAGAGGCGGAAGAGGAGGAAATAATACGATGCCACACCTTTAACCCTGGAGACCCCTGTGATCCAGGCATGCCATGCTGTCCATCCTCACCCTGCAAGACATTACATTCATGGTACATATTAATTAACCTGCAAGACATTACATTCATGGAACATATTAATTAACCTGCAAGACATTACATTCATGGTACAAATTAATTAACTTGCAAGACATCTACATTCATGGAACATATTAATTAACCTGCAAGACATCTACATTCATGGAACATATTAATTAACCTGCAAGACATTACATTCATGGTACATATTAATTAACCTGCAAGACATCTACATTCATGGTACATATTAATTAACCTGCAAGACATTACATTCATGGTACATATTAATTAACCTGCAAGACATTACATTCATGGTACATATTAATTAACTTGCAAGACATCTATATTCATGGTACATATTAATTAACCAGCAAGACATTACATTCATGGAACATATTAATTAACCTGCAAGACATTACATTCATGGAACATATTAATTAACCTGCAAGACATTATATATATTATTTTATTTTCATTGGTGAGTTTACAGGTACAATATTCAGATTCATTTAAATTCATAATTCCATAATTAATCTAAAGACATTAGATTATTGACATTAGATTATTGAAATGCATTAATTAATCACAGATTATATAGGTTACATACATAGAATAAATGTATACCGGTATGTGTGGAAGTGTGTCTGCATAAGAAATGTAGATATTTTACCTTTCGTCCAGGAGGACCCATTGGTCCCTGTGTAAAGAGGACACGTTATCAGCA